CTCTATATATGTATAACATTACACTTCACATAGATGCCTTGAGCTCCCAAAGCTGGGAGGACATGGTCTGGTGTACCTGGGTAACAGATTATTTTATTATTATTATTATTATTTAGTATTAGCTATTCTATTATTGTATTATTATTATTAGTAGAAGTTGCTAGAATATTCTGGTTGATTAGTAATCACTTAGTCACTTAGTAATTAGTCACTTAGTAATCATTAGTCATTAGTTGCTAAAACCTTCTGGTCGCTTAGTAATCACTTAGTCACTTAGTTGCTTAGATGCTTAGTCACTTAATTGCTTAGTCGCTTGGCCACTTAGCCACTTAGCTTACAGATATATAAACTCTTCTAAATTTCCCAAGTGTGATTAAGCAACAGACACCTCTCTTTTCTTTAATATTGTAAATACATCTTAGGATTCTTTAGAAACAGAAACCTAAGGATAGCCCTCTTTGTTATTACTTTAATAAATGGCTTTTGACTATAAACTGTATTGATACTTCTTTTTTAAAGTAATTCTTACAGGCAAGGTTTATCTTCTCTTAGTAAATAAAGTAAAGTTATTAGTATTATATTATCTTTTCTAAACTGCTTCAGAGAAGAGTATAGTTTCTTGACAATGTCAAACAGAAGCTATACTTCCTTCTTGAACATCACATATACCTATAAGAGATTCTCTGTGCTGTATTGTCATTATAGTATGAAAATTAAGAAGGCTTTCACTTATAATGATATTATTAATATTACAGATTAGGGTTCTGTAGCCTTGTAGTTTAGGTGCTCTATCTTTTACAGACAAGGTCAACAGTTTAATTTCAGTTGAAGCCAAAAACTCTGTAATTTATAGAAATATATAAATGTATATGAAGCCTTGTGGCTAAATTCATATAAATAGAAGATTGATATATAAAAAAGTTTCTAAAAAAAGTTTTTTAATATAAAAAGTTAGTACTTAATATAAGAAAAACAATAAATATACCAAAAATAAAAAAAAGGTATACTAGTAAGTAATATAGTGAATATAAAAGAAAACTATAAAAAAAGAATAAACTTATTAAAATTCAAACACTTATGACACTAAACTGGTTTTAGTAAATACAGAATATACTAAAATTGAATAAAAATCTAAAGAGTTATTTTGATATTATACTTAGTAAGTTTGTATTAAGAATAAATTTAAAGGACTATAGATATTTAGTAATAACTAATGAGATGTTATTTAGATATAAATCTAAGAAGTTATTTTGATATTATATTTAGTAAGTTTGCATTAAAAGTAAATTTAAAGAACTATGAATACTTAGTAATATCTAATGAGGTGTTACTTAAATATAAATAATAATTAAATAGCTTTAATCTGTTCTGTTATAATAATAGTAATATAACATATTGCATATATATGCAATAAGTATTAAAAATCTGAAAATTTAAATAGAAAACTTAGAAATAGGTCTCAGATATGCCATCTAATAAATAAACTATAGACAAAATTCTTAATTAGATAATAATTAAAGTTATACATGTGATTAGTTGTACTTTTATTAATATATATTTTATATAATATATAATCATATATTACTAATAATAAAAAGACATATTGACAAGATTATTCTTAAATATATATATATATATTAGCAATATTACTAATATTATCAATAATATTAATATTATTATTATCAGTATTTTTTTTATTAATATTACTAATACTATTAACAAAATTATATAATCTGATGCAGTCAAATTATTATTAAATAACTATAAATATATTATATAATACAAAGATACAAAATTCAAACCTTTAAAAATATTTAAAGATAAATATTCTATGTTCAATACCTATTTTTATCAGATATAAAAAAGAAAAAAGTTTTGTACAAATGTTTGAAATTCATATTTAGCTAATTTCAAAAATGATATTTTAATATCTATAGTTGTAAAAAAGACAAAAAAAAAAATTTAAGTTCAAGTTTGCACATATTTCTAATTAACATTTTATTAATAAAGATTTAACTAAAAAAATAAACAAAATATTAAAAACTAAAAAAAAAAACTATACTATTTAAAGTTTTATACAAAAAATTAAAGATTTTTTAGAATTTTATAAAAGAATACAAGAAACTAAAAAGATAAGAGCTGTTGTATATATTAATATTTTTAAACTATTTGTTTCTATTTCAAATATTTAGAATTAAGAGTAAAGAATATATAGATCATTTGTTATATGATATTAATTATAAATTTTTTTATTTTAGTATTTAAAAATATTTTTAATAACTTAACTGTTTTTAAATTTTTAAGCAAAATTGTAAAGCAGATTGTTATAATTTTAATAATTATAGAATTATTAAATTCAAATTAAAATTTATTAAAATAGATTTATTTAAAGATTTGGTATTATAAATCTATTATAAAAATTATATAATAATTATATAATAATCAACTAATCAGAATGTTACTACTAAGAATTTGAATTTACTACTGAGACTTTTACAACATATACAAGTATAGTTTTTTTCAAAATAATATATATTATAATTTTTTATTATAACAATTAAACTATTTTAATTTATATATCTTAAAAATTTAATAAAAATTTTGATATGTTTTTAAAAAATTTTATTAGTAACATATTTTTGCTTATTATATAAATTTAAATTTACTGTGCAAATTATATAACAAATAATCTACATGTACTCTACCTTTAATATAACTAATTTTTGCTTTATATTAATTATGCAAATTATTATAATATTTAATAAACTTTGAATTAGTTTGAATACTAGTAAATAATGCTTTTTTAAATTCCTTTATACAGATTAAAAAACCCACTAATATATTATTTACTATTAAGATAATTAAATAATGCTAGACTTAGATATTAAGTATTATTATATAATTGTAAAAGTAATTTCAAGAATCCTAATAAAGTACAAACATGATTGCTTAAGTTTTTTTAAAAAAATATATATAGAAATAAGACAAGGTGCCAAGAGATAAAATATTCTGAAGAAATAATTTAGTCTGCCTAATAGTATTAAAAACAAAAGATTTAAAAATAAGCATTAGAATAGAAAATAATTTATATATTTAAAAATAAGAATAAAAGTTCATGAAATATAATTTAATTCAATAAAAAATTTTATTTGTAACAAAATGAAACTATTTGCTTATGATTTTCTAGACTAATCTATATAACTTCTGAGTCTGGATATATTTTAAACTGATGCAACAAACCGCCTTTGGGTACTCTTAGAAACAACTGAAAAATATTAAATTAGAAAATTTAAAAATGTACATAATATATGCACAAGAATTTTAATAAAGGTTTTATGGTAAGACTGCCAAATTCGGAAAAACAAATTAACCAAAAAAAAAGTTCTAATCATATATTCGTATATGTGTACACTACTTGTAAATCCGTATAACACAAATTTGCTTGAAGCTGGATTAAGGTTAGTGTTTAAGATTTGGGTTAGGGTATAATTTATACGTACTAAAATCTCACGGCGTTTTTTTTTTTTTGATAGAACCTCGAAGGATGTTTATTAGTAAAATTTTAAGTTATATATATAGATACGTACCTGTGTTTGATACACTACGTAGTGTACAAATACGTACAAATACGTAGGAAAATAAAAATAACAACATTAAGTTAAAATTAGAATTAGATAGATATAAAGGATCAAATTTTAGTTAACGTAAGGTAATGTTTTTGAAATTCTAAACATATTTACTTAGTACGTACCCTGAAGTAAATTACTTAGTAGGTTTTGAGATATGTACAACATTCCAGTGATTTTACCTCCGGTTAAAATTAGCAATTCCCTTTAAAAAGATAATAAAGGCTACGTATGTATTAAAAATTATATTTTAATTATAAAGTATTACTTTAGAGGTGACTTGGCTATAACGATAAGATAAAGTTTAATTATTTTGATAAACTTTAAATTTTTTTTCAATAGAATGTTACACTTGACCTAGCAACATGATCGATAAGCCTGGGTCTCAAACTTATGCATGTGAAAGAGTATGTAGATGAGCACTTAGCACTAAGTCCCGGGCTTGGTGCAGTAAAAGAAGGAATGCACTTATACGTAGACTGTATATATTTGTAACATAATACAAATAAACTACCCTCTTAACTGTATTCATATTCCAAAATTCGAATCACAAATCCATATGTACATACTTATTTTCTAAATATGCTACGTATATATATCGACATATATATTTTTGATAGTTCTAAGCTTCATTACACGATGTTATGCTTACTAACATTTAAATATATACGTATAATTTAAATTAATTAATTAATTATAAAACTTTTATGTAACACCTATCAATAACCTATTATTTATTAAACAGACCCGATTTAGCAGTACATTATTATTACTATCTAAATAGAAAAGGCGGTATTGCGCAACCAATAAGTTCAAAAACGGAAGTAAATCTTTTCTAAAGTTGTCTCATCGGACAGACAGCAAAGATTAATAAGACATATATCGCAATGAATAGTGATAGGTACGTATGTGCGTACGTAGTAGGGAGATTTATTTAAAAGGATATACATTGACAATCACAGTATATATATTATATATCGAGTACGTAGCGATAGTATTTCAATTATAGATGCTGGTGAAACTGATGAAATTCTTGGCGAATCGAATGAAGGTGAAATTGGTGAAATTTAATATAACAGCCAATCAGATTTTAGATAGTCACTTAGTTCTATAATTTCAATGCACGTACTTACGTACGTACGTATGTGACACTAATAAGATTACTATGCAAAATATTTGCAAGTCTTTACCTCAATCGACTATAATATTAACGTGGCGTGAGAAAGATTTTTGTTTCGTAACGACTTGTAAATATGTTTCGATCAAATTTTTTTTTTTTTAAACTTTAAATAAAAATAAAAATAAAAATAATAAAAATAATAATAATACTGTACTAATAATAAAAAAAAGATATATACAAAATAATGGTGGAAATTACCAATCACGAACTTCACGTAAAGGAATAACATAAATTCCATAATTTTTTTCTAAACTTTTAATTTCCTTTGATTCTCTTTGACTATATTCTTTCTTCCCACCGATTCCAAGTACTTTTAAACTCTTGGTAGTTTTTATATAATCTGATATAACTTTCAGATGAGCGAATTCGAATTTACAATATTCTACGATCAAAGTTCTCAAAGGAGCTTTGCAAGTCTTTAGTAGATGTTCCAATTGGTCGGTAGTAAATCCACATTCTAATCTAAGATACTTGAGATTAATAGGAAAGTTTTTTCCCGAAAAGTTTACAACACCCATTTCAACTACAGTTTCTCTTGTTATAGTAAGTTTTTCTAATTGATTAACATCTTTAAGTAAGTTTAAAAGAAATGGAACTTGTTTTGGTTGATAATCCATTATTCGAAGATCGGTAAGTTGTGGACAATAATCAACGATTGTTTGAACTATTTCCAAAGATATAGAATCCACCCATAATTGTTTAACAGTTTTTCCAGTTGCTTGAATTATTGTAGCAGTAATATTTGATTGTTTTCGTTGTCCCCATAAATGTAATTTCTCTAAATGATATTTTGAATCTTGTAAACTTTTTGAATTTTGAGTACCAAGTCCTTGTGAATTCCAAAATACTAAATTTTTTAAGTTTGGGCATGATCCCAAAATTTTTAAACTAATTCCTTTGAAGTTAACATTATTAAAATGAATTGAATATATGCTATCTAATTGTGATTTAATCGATGTTAAGATTGTTCTGGTACCATTACTTGATTGAATATAACCCAATCTAATTTCTTTTAATCCTTCTTGTTGATCGATAAGATTTGATATTGAACCAAATATTGTTTCATCATTTTCAAATTCTATAAAATTAATTTCCAAGTATTCAAGATTTTTGCAATATAAATGTAAGGATTCTAATAAACCTATGATACTTTCGGATTTTCGAAAATTTATTTTAAGTTTTTTAAGTTGAGTTAAAATTCCAGATTTGGAAAAGACTACGACATCAGGAATATTGGTGAAAGACAAATGTTTATCGATAATGAATGTGTTTAAATTCTCACAAGATCGAAAAAATAAAGTGCATAATAATGTTGTTAAATGTTCTATTTGCACATTTAAATTATAAGTGTCTTTAATAGGTTTACGAAATGATGAGCTTAACCATGAAAATATGGCTGATTCTAAATCTTTAAATGAAAGTTCTTGTAAATATTTTTCATATTTATAGGTAAGTTGATATTTTGGTAACCGAATCTTGATGTTGATTTTTCGGAAAATTCGTTTTAGTGTTGCTTTTTCATCGGGGGTAATACGTGAGAGATATATTGCTAATAGCTTCGATTGATTCTCAGGAGATAAATTACGAAAAGGTCGACTCCACAAGATTGGGATTGTATTCTTACACCAATATTTATTCACAAATAAACAAGAATAAAGGTCATTGTTATCAATAAACTTGAATACATGTTGAATGCACTCGTCTGGTAATATTTGTTTCGTTTCGATTGGAATTGAGAGTCCTGTTTGTCGTCTCTTGCAAATTTTTACGAAACGGCGAAAGGTTTTTCTAAAAATATTTACCATTGTTAATTGGCCGAATGCGTATGTACATACAAAATGAGCAAGAAGATTAAAATTTGTCTATTTATATTTTATTGATTTTTAAAGCACATACATACATACGTACGTACGTGAATAGATGTGAACATTAGGTTAATAATATTGTGTAATAATCGATTTAAATAGACAAATTGTCTAACCTTAACGCTAAACAAACATACACACAAAAGCTTATATGTTATTTCATTTTTTAGTGACTTTTTATTATTATTATTATTATTTATGGATATCTGGGAATGTTTGAGAGATTTACTTTTCTCAATTTAGATATACTTATCTTAATAATCTAACTTTTTATTATTAAATAAAAAAAAAAAAACAATAAATTAAAATAATAGCAATTCAGTAAACTTTAAACAAAGAAATTCACTAATTTCGGTCGTTTTTTTTTTCGACTACTAAGTATTATTTGATTAATTTATTTTATGCACTTTAGCGCGTGCGTGCGTACGTACGTACATATGTATTTATGTACAGATATATAATCTATTATGAGAATTAATACCCAAAAATAACTATCGATGAAACTCAAAACTATGCATACACTTATTGGATGAATAAATCATCATATCTGATATTATGTATTAACATTAATGTTATGTAGGCTATACGCATAAGCGCTATATAAGCTATATAAGCTATATAGCTATATAAGCTATATAAGCTATATAGCTATATAAGCTATACAAGCTATTTAAGCTATTTAACTATATAGCTATATAAGCAATATAGCTATAAGCTAGCTGCTATATAGCTGTATAAATGTATCATATGACAACAAGATCACGTGTATGTCATTATTCGAGTGATGATAAGTTCATTATCACACCTGAGACATTATATGTAAGGGGAATGCAGTTAATTACGTGTTTTTTTTTAACGGAATTATGTGATTAACTGTACTTCTTTAATCAGGGACAACTCCCGTAATAAGCATATTTGATCGGTTAAACTATTTTTTTTTTTTTTTACTAATTAACTAAGTAATCAAATTGTTGATATATAGGAGTAAAGATCAGAACCCTATTTTCTGTCGGTTTTATTAAATTTTTAATGGATTTTCTATTGGCTCCATTGATAATTTCCCAATGAAGTATATTCATTGCCAACCCTGCCTTTAATATATGCTCACTGTGTAAATGATTACGGATAATTCATTACTACATTATGGAGATACAATATTATCGATTGACAAAAGTACAAGTAATGTAGTGATGATCAATAATAAAGATTGTATTATTAACGTTAATTAGTATTTATAAATAGTACTGTGGTAAAAAAAACGTATCGCATAAAACCAGTAAATATGCACAATTAAAATTACCATTTATTAGATTTCACTCTGTGTGATCTTTTACATGATAAAGCTCTCTTTTATTCTTAAATTTATATGTCACTTTAAAAAAAAAACTCATTGAAAGAATTTCAAATTATTTACTACTGGTTTAAGTGTTAATTTCGTTGAGTAACTGCGCTTAATGATTCGCTATAATCTACTACAGGTTTTCACTCTACCTGCAGCTGTCGCTAATTGATGATTTTTCTCAAGCATTTCACTCAATGAATCGGAGTAATTTTTATTCAGGCGGAGATACTAAGTGAGTTAACGTTTTCCTTTTTCAGAGTTACACTGATTGGCTAAAATTTAAAATCCGCATTTCGAACAATGAATATTCGGCGTATTGTTACAAGGAACACTTCAATTAATCGTAATGACTATTCTAATTAGTTGCTACGTATGATTAGGCAACATCTCGATCAATTTCAAATCTCATTGAAGAAGTTTCTTAAGAATGCCCTGATAAAACCTTTATAACTTATCAGGAATAATTGAGTTGGCTACATTAGAATTTTAGGAGTCCAAAGTCCGGTTTTTCTTGCCATTTACGTATGTAAATTGAAGATACCGTCAATTTGATTGCTTGACTGTTAAAATTATCAAAAATATCACTCAATCGAATCATAAACTATTTGCTTGCCTGTTAAAATTATCAAAAATATCATTCGATCGAATCATAAACTATTTGCTTGCCTGTTAAAACTTCGTATTAAAAATATTACTCGGCAGAGTCACGTGATCGAAATGGCTAATTCCGGTGTTTGCCAAAAGAATAACTACAAATAAATACATATTTTATTCGAAAAGTTTGCCAGTAAAATAATTAAAATACTTGTTGGATTGGAAAATTATAACAGAATTATTAAGGTATATGTCTCAAATACATCTACATTATTAGTAGTATTAGATAAAAGTTAACACCAAGTGGTGATAGTGCTTTACTGATTCAATCTTAAATTATTTTAATTAACATGATTTATTACTATTATTAAGAATCAATTTTACAAAGTCGATTGTATTACTCGAATGTCAGTATAAAATTATATTAATATTCTTATAATTCAAGAGTATTTTTGTTTTTATAACCAACTATATCACTATATAAGTTCCATAATACCAAAAAGAATTAGATATTCTTAATACAATCACAAGAAACAGTAAGTATAGTGTTCCGTGGGCTCACAAACTTGGTCAAAAATGTATCGAACTATAATTCCTGAGTCTATTGAAATCGGAACACTAGTTAACATGACTATCGATGCAACATCATTAGTTACAACTCATTTGTATGTTTTACTTTATAAACCAGTTTGACAACTTTTTCTTATAGAAAATAAATAAGTGACGCGATTAAGTTTTTATCGATAATCATGTGTACCGCCAATTAAACCAAAGAATTTATTGTTTATTATTTGCTAACCAGGGACACATACGATACATGAGTAAATATAATTACGTATAATATATGTCATATATGTTTCGAATCATTATTAAATCTAGTAAATAATAAATAATAAACTGTTTGAGATTTTTCCCTTGGTGGCACTCATATGTATATTACACATAGAAATGTCAAATCGTTAAAATTATCGTCAGTTATAAATAGAGTTAACTATTTAAACTATTTTTAACTAGTTACATAAAAAAAGTTTATTAAAAAAGTATATTGAAAATTATATATATAGTTATATAATTTGGTAATTATTTAAATCTATTTCAATCAATCAGCACGGATTTTGATTGGTTAAAAATTAAAGATACTTTTATACATGACATATATAATATATCTGTATATGATGGTATTTTTTATTAACTACATAAATTATATAACATAAATTATATAACATAAATTATATAACATAAATTATATAACATAAATTATATAACATAAATTATACAACATAAATTATATAACATAAATTATATAACATTTATAGTTTTATAAATGTTAAACTAACTAGTTCAACTGGTTTGAACTTAAACAATAACGGTTTAAGTCCCTAAATAAGTTAATATAGTTCCATTCTAACTACTTAACATCTCTAATTACACGTCTTACTTAAACAATCATACTCGTTATAATAATGTTTCACTTCAGAGATAGGAAGGTAATATATTTAACCTTTTTGTAAACCATGAGGTAAACCATGAAGTATTAACAAGTACCTATAGTTTAAAAGGTATATCCTACTTCCCAGGCGCCAACCAAAATTTACTCAAATCAAATATTGAATCAATTTGAATTTGATTTGATCCAAAAATTTGGATTTGGACTTTTTAAATTTTAAAATATTGATTATTAAAGGCAAACCCTTAATTTACGAATTTGATCAAATCAAATCAGATTGTAGCCATGTTGGCAGTCAATACATCTGTTATACTTTATCAGTAAATTTTTGCTTTTACCTTATTGCCCAGGATATAATATTACAACACATATGCAAATTTATCGTTATAACAACCGGCTTCTACATAAACGAAAATCTTACCAACTTATTAATCTTAACGTATATAAGTATTTTTCGTATGGTATAAATAATCAGATCCGTATGGTACAAACCCGATTTTAAACCTTAATACAAATTATATCAATTTGTTATGGTTTTTAAAATTTTGGTCTATGCCATACTGATCTGCGAAATATCTATATTGTTCTGGACCTTATAATTTTTACTAGAAATGATCACACAAGTACAATAAGGAGTCAACAGAGTTGTCTGATGGCTGCAAAATTTAACCTTATTGGTATCCTATTGCCTACGGATTTTTGCGCAAAAGGAGGTCAATAGAGTTATTTGATTATAAAAATATTTAATAAATAGTAATTTACTATTGATTAAATAGTTATAAAAATATTTAATAAATAGTAATTTACTATTGATTTAATAGTTTAGGCTAGTAAAAACTTTATTCAATATGAAATCAATCTGGAAAATAATCAGGTAACCCTATTAACCTCTTTGCGCTAAATTCTGTAGGCAATAGGATACCAATAAGGTTAAATTTGGCAGCAATCGGATAATCTCTATTGAAATATCATTTTATTTGCATAAATTTTTTTATTTTCCACACCATATTGAGCTAGTTTCCGTAAGAATGCCTTCTTACCCATTTATAACTTTATAAAATACATTCGAGTTTATCTTTCGTAAGAGGACATCTATAATAATACTCTTGCAATTTGCTCACATGAGGTCTTTGCCTTGAAATCACTATCGGACATTTCCGATCGGGATAATTCGGTGATCTTGATCCGTAAATAATCTTTTGCCTTTGATGATCTAGTAGTTTTTATTCAATGAACTATTGAATCAATAAAGGTTTTGCACATGAACATGAACCGATATTGGGGTTTTTTTGTCTGCATTATCCCCGATCGGAAATGTCGGACGGTGATTTTCAGGCAAAGACCCACATATTTCCATATTCTAATGATTGGCATCACTCTAAACCTATATAAGGTTAACGAATTTTATCTTTATTTGTTGTAAATTCGGCACATACCTTTCTTATTGAAGCATCTCTACTCAACTTTTTTTTACATCAATCTTTTCTCTAACAAGAAAACCTTAATCTTTCTCGGTTAATTGTACAGTAGTCGGATTCTAGATCAATTACACCGAAC